TGTAGAATTGTATTAAAAATTATCTTTGCAAACTTAGTAGAATCCTACATTGCAAACCCATGTACAATAGATTGTATGAAAAATATCGATTATAAATTCCATGTACAATCGTACAAAAGTAATGAAATAAAAAAAAATTGCGACAAGTAAAAGTAGAAACTTGTACCAGTGGAAAAATTAAAGTTGCAGACATATATAGAGTCGTATAATGAATCAGTAAAAATTTAAATTTGAAAATGTAGAATCGTACCATAAAAAAACTTATCTTAAAAAAAAAAAAGATAAACAAGATGCCAAGTCCATGCGCCATGTGAAAAAGTGTTAAACAAAAAAGTATTTTTAAATAAAAAAAATATATCAATTGAAAAAATGTATGTTCTAAAATTAATATCTCTGCACAAAAGTAATGTCCAAAATTGCGCGAATAAATAAACATTTTTATAAAAAATTAAATTTAAAATTTTATGCAAATTTAAAATTATATAAAATAAAAAGAAATAAAAAAATTTTAGTTAAAAAAACTGGGCGCGCTGCTAAGTTTCAAAATTACAATGCACCTTAAAAGTAACATTAATTAATTTAAACACAAAACATTTTAACTGCAATGAGTTTAAAAATAACAATTTAATTTTAATATCATTAGAATATTATTTAGCACCTTAAAGTAACATTAATTAATTTAAAAAACAAAACATATTTTAACTGCAATGAGTTTAAAAATACAATTTAATTTTAATATCATTAGAATATTATTTAGCAGCGCGCCAAGTTTTTTTAACTAAAATTTTTTTATTTCTTTTATTTATATAATTTTAAATTTGCAAGTTTTTAAAATTTTAATTTTTTATAAAAATGTTTATTTATTCGCGCAATTTTTGGACATTACTTTTTGTGCAGAGATATTAATTTTAGAACATACATTTTTTCAATTGATATATTTTTTTATTTAAAAAAACTTTTTTGTTTACACTTTTTCACATGGCGCATGGACTTGGCATCTTGTTTATCTTTTTTTTTAAAGATAAGTTTTTTTATGGTACGATTCTACATTTGCAAATTTAAATTTTTACTGATTCATTATACGACTCTATATATGTCTGCAACTTTAATTTTCCACTGGTACAAGTTTCTACTTTCACTTGGCGCAATTTTTTTTTTATTTCATTACTTTTGTTACGATTGTACATGGGTTTATAATCGATAATTTTTCATACAATTCTATTGTACATGGGTTTGCAATGTAGGATTCTACATAAGTTTGCAATGGATAATTTTTAATACAATTCTACATGGGTTTGCAATGGTTAATTTTTCATAGGATTCTACATGAGTTTGCAATGGTTAATTTTTCATAGGATTCTACATAGGTTTGCAATGGGTACGATTCTACATGGGTTTGCAATGGTTAATTTTGCCTAGGATTCTACATGGTTTGCAATGATTAATTTTTCATAGGATTCTACATGGGTTTGCAATAGGATAGGATTCTACATGGGTTTGCAATGGATAATTTTTGTTAATGGCGTGCCCTTAACTGGTCGCCTTTTTTTACCTTTTTTTAAAGGTGAGTTTTTAGAGATTATATCATTCATTTTTGTATATTTTTATGACCGGAATAGAACAATTATTAAACATGTTTATCTAAACTTCTTTGCTTAAAATGATGTGTACAATCATATCCTAGAATCCTGATCATTCCTCCTAAAGCACCCTATTTATATAAATTTACCCATATGTGTGTGTGTGTGTGTGTATGTGTGTGTGTGTGTGTGTTCTAATGTCGAGCATTTTTTATACATTTTCTATTAAATTTAGATAAAAGTTGCAGGATTTCGAAAAAGAAAAAGTTGACACAGACTTTTTCCTAAACGGCGATTTTCAAGGTTATTTAAAGGTCACTTATATTTTCAAAATAGAATTACCTTAATTTTTCTCATATAAATCGATTCCTCGCAATATTTACTATAAAAAGTTGTAAAGGTATAATTTTTACATAATCTTACATAAACTTCGAAATATTACAAATATTTTATTCTATGAAATATTTCAGTTTATGTAAAATTATGTTAACTATCTTTTAAATTATTCACTTTTAGCCATCTTACCCTTACAACCTTTTATAGTGAATATTGCAACAAATTGGTTTATATATATAATATATATATAACATCAGTTATTATTAATTGATGTTTACATTTATTTTTAGACTTACTAGAGCTCAAATGCTCCACATTTTTGCAAAAACTGTTTATTCTACAGATTTCAAATATGCTTTTAAATGATGATTGAATATTTCCTTTTTTAATTATTTTTATTATTATTTTTCAATCTCAATCAACTTTTATAACTTTATGCCAGCACGATACAAATACATGTGTCTTTATTTTTTTTTATTATTTTCATTTATTATTTTTCAATCTCAATCAACTTCTATAACCTTATGCCAGCAGGATACAAATACATGTATGTCTTTATATTATTGTATCAACTCTTGTCTTTTCCATGTAACCATGTCTTCATAGTTTGAATTATCCCTTCATCTTCTCAATCTTTCGCAGAGATTTAATTAATTAAATACACTTCACACGAAATAAAGTTTGCTGGAAGATATACAGCAAACGATAACTGTAAAAACATGATTACGTGGAAAGAACAAGAGTTGGTACAGTAAAGGCAAGTAAGTAAGTACATGTAATGTATCGTATTGGCATAACGCTATATCCGCGGAGCAGATAATGTGGCTGTAGAGGTAGTCTGCAGTGCAGCTAATGTGGACGTAGATGTTGATTGAGATAATTGTCTAATATAAAATAGAATTTAAAAATTTAGTTTAAAAAGCTGTTGCATATATAAATAAAGTTTATTTTTCTAAATTTGGAATATGTTTAATTAATTAATTTTTTAAGTCTATGTTTAATAAATTTTTAAGTCTGTATTCAATAATTTTATTCATTTGATAAATACATGTATGTCTTTATTTTGATATGTTTAATATAATTAGAAATTCATTATTAATTAGATATGTAAACTATAAATTCATATATAATATTTGAAAATATATGTGAATATTTAAATTTTTATCTTCTCCTTCCTCTCCTTCAATCTCTTTAATATCAATATGTGTATGTGTACACGCGCGCACATTTGTACGTATTTATTTAATTATTGGATAGTTGAGAGTACTTAATTGATAAAAATTATGACAATAATAATCCTTTTGTTTTTTTTCTTATTATTTACTCAGATTTTTTTGTCTATCTTATAAGATAAACACTTTAGAGATTGAATATTTCAAGTAAACTAATTGTAAGTAAATTTCACATTAATGCATATAGATGTTTAATCATGAATGTACTAAATAAGTACACAAGACGAACAGTGAGTGAGTGAGTGAGAATGAGAGAGTGTGTGTGTGTGTGTGTGTGAGAAGAGAGAGAGAGAGAGAGAGAGAGAGAGAGAGAGGAGAGAGAGAGAGAGAGAGAGAGAGAGGAGAGAGAGAGAGAGAGAGAGGAGAGAGAGAGAGAGAGAGTTAGCCAACATAACCCCGCACGCTGCCGATATGGCGGAGCGCCACTATCGCCATCTGTTGTAAAACGTGCGAGATGGACAAAATTACCACTACATGCATCTTGCATGTGTTGTGTACGTGTGATATATGTGTGCGCATGTGTTGTATACGTGTGAATACGTGTAACACGATACTACTATGTATGCGTGGTCGATGATAATGATGACGGGGACGTTTCTTAATAGAAATTTTTCATATTTCGACTTTGCATTTATATATCTCTGCTTACAAATCACGTAGAGCAGAAATAAAGACACTTTTATTATATAATTCGAACTCAATCTATCGATTAAGTCTAGTATAAACTCGATTGCTTCAGCCATTATTGAGGATTCGAAATATTATAAAGACTCAAATGTCCGACTCGCGTTAAGATACACGGTGTCTCCGCTACGCCCTTAACTGGTCGCGAGACACTACCGTGTCTCTTGATTAAGATACACGGTGTCTCCGCTACGCCCTTAATGGTCGCGAGACACTACCGTGTCTCTTGATCCAAATTGATATGAGAATCGCTTTTAATGCGCATGCGCAATAAATGTATATTTATAAGGTTAATTATTTGTTCAAAAATTCCCTGGAATTTTAACATTTGAAATAAATATAAATATACATATACACAAAATAAATATACATATATTTCTTAAAGAGAGAAAAAAACACAGAACGAAGAAGCAGAAAGTAAAGAGTGGAGAGAAAACGCAAACAATTAAAAAGAACAGCGATTTAGTGTACTATAAATATAACGTATTTGAAAAAAAATTAAGTTATCAGCATTGAAAATTACTAGTGATTCTGATTGGTTAGTAAAACCTCAGCCAATCACAGTCAGGTATTCTCATGGATCGATTGTGAAATAAACAGTAAGCAAATCAAATATTTCAGAAAGCTCAGCTAGCAAAAGTAGTCAAATTATACGTCAAAATAATTACTGTTGCTATCTGAAATATGCATATATCAATTTGTTTATTGTTTACGTTTTTTAAATATGAATTTTTTATCTTTTTGTCTCCTTTTTATACTTACTTATTAATTATTTACAATATATCATTGTATAATGAAAAAAAAGCATATAATTTTAATAATAATTTTTAAATTAAATATATTAAATAATTATTAAATTAAATATATTATTGTAAATAAATTATTTAAAATATTGAAAATTAAATATTATTAAATATAATATAATTATTATTAATTTGCATCAATTAATTTTAATAATAATATTTTATTAAATTAATATTATAATTAATTCATGTTAATATTAATAATTATTTTATGAAATTAATATTAATATTATTATTAAACATTATATATATCTTAAAAATTTTATTGTCGATTTTATAATCTATTGATTTATAATCTGTCGATTTTATAATCTGATGATAATTTTATTGTCGTTAAATCGAGTTGTGTTGATGATTGTATCATTTAAATTTAAATGGCACTTATTGTCAGTAACGTCATTTGATATCTTACATTACGATATGTGAATAACTAGGGACTAATATTCTTGAAACATATATCCAGGTTACCATGACGATAGAAACGCGACAACAATACTCTTTTCTTCGAAAAACATTGAAAAGTCGTTAAAGTGCAAGCAAATAAAAAAAGTGTGGTCGAACAAAAACAAAAACTACAGTTATATTAATTATTAAAGTTAAATTATTGCAAGAAAATAATGGCAAATGATGTTCTCAGCAACGGTCGTTTACAGGAGAATACAACGAACATTGTACAACGAACGAGAAATGACAGAAGCAAAAGAGGTATCATAAACCAACATTTTGTTAGTATTGAAAGTATTATATATATATATATATATATATGTGTGTGTGTGTGTGTGTGTGTGTGTGTGTGTGTGTGTGTGTGTGTGTGTGTGTGTGTGTGTGTGTGTGTGTGTGTGTGTGTGTGTGTGTGTGTGTGTGTGTGTGTGTGTGTGTGTGTGTGTGTGTGTGCGCATTATACAGGGTGATTCATTTTAATTGTCCTAGACAAATATTTCGAAAACTATGAAAGATATAAAAATGTTTTAAACAAAAGTTTTTTTGACTTTGAGAGAGACGCAAGATATGGTGTCATTAGTTTGACCTTGTATAATTATTTCAAGGTCATATAAGGTCACCTTCAATTTTTAAATGGTAACCTATTATATATATTATATATACTATTTTTCATTGCGTATTCTTGTAGCTTATCTCGAGAGCCGTTCATTATGATTACCGAAATTTACATTTTATGTCAAAAAATTGTTAATTTCAAACCTTATATAATAATAACTAGAAAGTACTTAAGAAAAAAATACTTTATTGTAGTGTTTTGGAAAGCTCTCGCGATAAGCTACAAGAATATATGATGAAAAATAGTAGGTTTCATTTAAGAAATTGAAGTTGATCTTCACGTGACCTTCAAATAATTATACAAGGTCAAATCACCATCTTATGTCCTCCTCGAAGTCAAAAAACTTTTGTTTGAAACATTTTTTATATCTTTCATAATTTTCGACATTTTTGTTTGGGGCGATTAAAATTAATGAATCACCCGGTATACAGGTATTTAATTTTTTATCTTACTCAAAAGCTCGAATATCTCTCCGACCAATTTTTAGAATAATATATGTATATATGTGTATTGTGTGAAATATAAAATATCATTATTATCTTCTTACCGCTGTTATTTTGTCGTTTTGGTAAACACCCAGCTCCGGATATAGCAGCTATAGAGAGTCGAAATTGGTTATTACATCGATATTACACGAGACACGAGTACGGCGCTTGCAAACTACTCATCGAACAAGAACTAATAAAATCGGATGGTCACGAATACGCCAGTTATTTGAAGGTAAAATCGATATATCGACGATAATCGATATACAGAGATATATACAGAGAAAATTAGGATGAATATTATATAGGGTGATTCAGAGCAAGAGAATTTCTCGATTCATATCGGGACAATAGAAGCAATCAAGCACATTTTGAGCATTTATTATCAAAAATTGAGTTGTAAATAAATGACGTTTACACATGCTCTTGATTTTTTTTATTTCTCGAAAAGATTAGGGTTACTACTCATCCTCTTGCCAACACAATTGAACATTTCAAAACTTTTATAACTACCTAAAGTATTAAAAATATAGGACCATGTATGTATATACATATACGTTCAGTAATGATATTTATTATTCAAAATATGACATTTACTTCCAAACCATCTATCAAAATTTGTTACAACTCTCGTTCTGAATCACCCTGTCTATATGCCACACTTGTTACATATGGCGGTATAAATCACAAGTTTTTACCGAATTGTTTGATGAACGATTATTATATATCAAAGGGAGCTTATTTCGTAAAATTCAAATGAATTTTTTTTCAAAACAATGACGAATTTTGATAATTATTTATATTATAGAATCAACCATATATATATATATATATATATATATATATATATTTCAATGATGATCTTGATATAATATATCCCAATAGCAAACTGATAATGACGTATAAACGTCAAAATGACGTCATTAAACGAAAGATCGAATTTTTATTTCCCTATACACGCATGATATTATTTAATATTCTAGGCGTATTCTTAGAATATTAAATATTCTAAAAATACGCCTAGAATATTGCTTAAATATTAAATAATATCATGCGCTTATACCCAAGTAGAACAAAAAATCAAAATAATATCATTTTGACGTCATTGATCAAATTTGGAGTTCAAATTTGGTCAAGATGACGTCAAAATAATGTCAATTTGACGTCATCTTGACCAAATTTGATCAATGACGTCAAAATGATATTATTTTGATTTTCTGTTCTACTTGGGTAGGGAAGAGAACAGAAATGTCAAAATGATGTCAAATTGACGTCAAAATATGGTCATTTTAGTTCATCAAATTGCATAAAATTTTGATGTTATCGTGATGTTCACAATGGTAAAAAAATAATATTTTGTATTAAAAATAATTGAGATGCAAATTTAAGACGTAAGCCGCTTAAAATAATAAATATTTTAATCAACAATTTAGTTTTTAATATAATAACTCGAACTCTTCTACGAACTGCAATAATATCTGAATATAAAAAACGTTAACCTATAATTCATAATAATAAACATTGTATATACACAGTCGAGAAACGTACATCGCATTGTCTAAAAATTAAAAAGGTCAACAAAAGTCAATATAAAAAGTCATTTGTTAGTCATCTTCGAGATCGAGATTTCCATGACCAAAAAAATGACATAAATTTAGTCAAATTAATATCATTTTGATTTTTCTGTTCTTCTTGGGATAAGGGCATGATTTCGAATAATTTTCAAAAGATTTTAATCATCGCTCGTAGTACAAAGTGTTAATAAACAAAATAAAAGTTTAATAAATAGAACGTAATTTATTTCTGACACCATATATATATACGTTTAAGAAGGAATATATTTGGTGAAATGTGTTAAATACATAGAACATATTATACTGCGTTCATTATATGCTATATTTGTACTGTGTACATGTTGTATATTTATACACGTTTTCGTAGCTAGGTTACTTGTAGTGCATGTTTATATATATGTACTTTTGTTTAAATTGTGATAATTCTTTATGAGTTATGTATTCAGTGCGTATATGCATTATAAAATAAAAGCGTGACACACCATCTGCACCTCCATCCCAAAAAAATTCTAAATCAAACTTAATTTTAATTTAAAATTAGAAATGACTTTAATTTTATAATACATACATATATGTGTGTGTGCGTGCGTGCATGCGTGTATATATATATATATATATATATATATATATATATATATACATCGTGAGTCATATCAATGCACGTAAATATCTCGTATAGTAAGCAAGATGGAAGAAAATGTTTCAAACAAGTTTTCTTGACTATGAGGGGGACATAAGATGATGTCATTGATTTAAACTGAACATTTTACAAGATATTTTACAATGATAAATTATTAAATTAAGGCCATGTGTAACGAGCAATACGAAATTATTTTATTATTTAGAAGAAAATTCTTAATTTGACATAATAATTACACAAACGTTTCGAGCTCTACTTGCTCCTCTTCAGTGCGCAAAAAAATAATGATAATAAATACCCATAATAAATAAATACATACATAAAGTTCTAATAAAAAAATCCGCAATACATAGTCAATATAAGTTATATAGTTAAGTCATAGTTAAAACGCAAAATATATTTACAATGAATTGAAACCATTAAAATAGTTCAACAAAGTAAGAACCCAATTAGAAGCAGAATGATTCGTCCGGTTATTCATAAAATATTTTAGAATTATTAATAAAAACTCGGAGTGACACTTATACATTGCTCCAAACGAACCACTTATCGTTATTTGACGAAAGTCCCTCGATCTGGCAATGATTATGTCCATCTTCTCCAAATTATTTGATATTTGTTAACTGAATTTAGAGAATTTATTCAATTGTAAAATAGGATTCCACTAATGTGTATGTAAAAAAATTAAAAATTACAAATTAAACTAAATACTAAAATATTGAACCTTTATGCTTACAAATTGTTCCGAATAACTTGAGATGACGATGCTTCTAATTGTTGTTGGCCTTATTGTTAGTACTTGACTGTTGTCTAGTCTTTTAAAAAGTCGAATAAATAGGTGTCAGATCTCACAAAATAAACATTTACATAAGTCTAAAAATTCGATATTTCTTCTAGAATGTCGAAATACGCGTTGTTAAGCAATTCGGTGTCTGTGTTATTATTTATACCATGCCTTTGTTCCTTGATGTGTATCATTTCCGAGATAAGTCTTTTATAATAATTAGATTCAATATCAAGTATTTTAACGTTATCCCAATCAAAAGCATGTTTTTATTTATAATATGTTCAGAGACCACAGAATGCTTGGAGGAATCAAATTTAATATTATTCATATGCTCTTTTAGTCTAGTGCGTAATTTTCTTTTGGTTTGCCCAACATACGAAGCTTCACAATCCTTACAATTAATTTTGTAGACAACATTATTATTATTGTTATGCACGTTTTTGTCCTTGTGGACTTTAATAAATTTGTTAAGATTATTTAGATATTTTACATTTTATGCCAAAAAATTTTAAAAACTTTAAACTTTTATAATTTGAAAAGTACTTCATCAAACAACACTTTATTATAAGGTTTTGGAAAGCTCTTTAGATAAACTATAAGAATATGTAATAAAAAATAGCAGGTTCTGTTTAAAAAATTGAAGGTGACCTTTACGTGACCTTTAAATAATTATACAAGGTCAAATCAATAACACCATTTTATGTTCCTCTCATAGTCAAAAAACTTTTGTTGGAAACATTTTTTCCATCTTGTTTATTATATGATATTTACGTGCGTTAATTAAAATGGCTCACTCTGTATATATATATATACATAATATACACTAAATATGAGTCATTCCACGTCAAATCGGCCACCCCTCGCCCCGGGGATGTATTTCGAGATACACGATATAAATAATCATAATAACAAATAAAATTGTATTGAAGTAAATTTAATTTTCAAGGTACCAAAATTTAGCTTAAAGCATCTAGTTTTTTATGCCGTGTGGCGATTTTGAAAAATATTAAATAATGACCTTGGTTTTGTCAGTTATATAAAAAATGATATGTATTTTCCTATTCAAATCTTTACTATTTCCTTAATTACAAATAAAGTACAAAAATTATTTTTAATGTAATTTGATTCGCTGAATCCGAATCTGAAGTCAGAAAAACAAAATTTCTATTTTTGCAAATAAATAATTAGTTAGAAAATCAAGATTAGAAAAACAAAGTTTCTATTTTTGCAAATAAATAATTAGTTATTGATATTTACCTCTAAAAAATAAAATTACTGTTATTGTTTGTAAAAATGCTTTTTTTTTTCTTTTTATGTCTACGACATTTCTGTGCTAGAATATTAACTATACAATTATCATATCTGCACAATTGCAGATTTGGCAGTATTAATTATATTTTTAATATTTTATGAAAAAACTTTCTGCGTTTATACAGGATATACCATATACATGCATATTGTATTTCTATATTTATGTACTTATTCTTACAATTAGTCTTCAAAGAGCTTTCCAAAACCTTATAATAAACATCAGCAAATTAGATTCTATTCTTGTTTATTTTGTCTATAACTTTTCTAATAAAAACTACAAGCAACAGTTAAAATCTTTTGAACATGTGCTCAGGGCAGTGTCCTTGATATGTCCTTGAATATTAATCAAAATCAGGGGGACATATAACCTCGCGTGGAAAATCGTGGACTATTAGGCGAAAGGTCCCAGGTCAAATCCGGTTCGATCTTAAATATCTTATATATATCTCATAAAAAGTTTTAAAAAAGTTTTTAAATCTGACGATCCCCTTTGTAGGGATATGTTATTATGGCTGTCTCACCATTTTAATTTAATTTTAATTTTGACTTGTATATTTCACTGAAAATTGATATGGATTATTGCTGTATGATGAATTAATTATTACTACATTTATTTTCTCACTTGAAAAAGACCATAACCATATGGTCGAAACGCCGTGAAATATAATAAACGATTATTACTTGTTAATTTGGTCGATTATTTCCAAAACTCATATTTAAATACTAGTGCCGATTGTCATTAATAATTGGGAATTTATTTTTAGAAAAGGATTTATGAAAGAAAGAAAAGAGGAATGAAAAGATGGGATAAGAAGAGGAGAAAAAAAAGAGAGATGGGAAAGAAAAGAACAAAGAGATTATAGTTATGAAGTCGCTTATGGGCAAGTTATAAGAAGTTAAAGTGATATTGTAAAAGGTTCGGGCATGCTCCTTATGCAAAAAAGCACCTTTATAACCCCAAGGGAATCAAAAAATGTTATATATTTTACATATTAAGAGTAATAAAATCTGTGAAGTCGACTTTAATGTAAATTTACTATATTTTCTTTTCTCTCTCACGTTCTCCAAGTAGCAACCTGACGTCATTAAACGTCAAAATGACGTCTAATGACGTCATTGATGTCTAATAAAGAGATAAAAAAAAAACAATAAAATCTTTGAGATCAACCTTAATGTAAATTACTACATTTTTTTCTCTCTTCCTTTTCCTAAGCAAACTAATATCATTAATGACGTCTTTTTGACGTCTAATGACGTCATCGACGTCTAATGCGGGGATCAAATAAATGTTATTTATTTTATATATCAAAGTCAATAAAATCTATATTATTTTGACATTATTTTGACGTTTAATGATGTCAATCTATGATCTGGGTCGTATGTAACAATAATATATGACACGTACCAAAGTCGTTTTTTTTGTAGGGTTTAATTCTCAGAAAGGAAGGCAAATTCAAGATTCATTGGATTGCTTTCAAACCGCGTACCATGTGAATTCGACAAACGTGGATAACATTAAACAGATAGCAAAATCATTGTAAGTATATTGAAGAAAGATTTTGTATCATCAAGGATCTTCATATTTCGAGATACACATATAAATAATCATAATAACATAACTTTGCGCTATTTTTTAGATTAATAATAGGAAGTCATAGGCGCGCGATAGATGCTTACACGGAAGCTGAGAAGATATCCGCTGTACCGGATTGGGAAATATATTACGGTCTTGGCAAGTTTCAGTTTCGTATATAACTCACTTTACAGCACGATACACCTCGCGTTAGTCGAGTTGCAAACTTCTCGAGAAATGCACTTTAGAAAATCAGAAAGTTAGGGGAGATACTACTTTATTAACGACATAGTGCATTTAAATTTTCTTTAGTTAATAATAATTAGCACATATTTCTTTATACAATTTTTCACACACACATATGTATGTTTTTTATTTGTTGTTACCATACAAAAATTTATATAACTAAATATAATTAAAATTAAAGATACAAATGTATATATGTGCATGTATATCGGCTGTAGAGCCTAACGCGATGTTTTTTGCGTTAATGAAAATTATTTTTCGTTGATACAGCCGATATACATACAAATATATATATTGTATTTATTTCGAGAGCCAAATTATATATTCTTAAGATTGTCAAATTAAAGATATTTAAAAAATATAAGTTTTAAAAATAAAAAAGAATTAAAAATATATAAAATATATAAAAAAGTATACTAATATAATGCTTTGTTTTTGTCGAACATTTACTTATATATGTATATTGTTTAGGTGAAGCTTACGTAAAAATGAATCAATTACAAGAGGGAAAGAAATATTTCAAGAGGTCAACCGAATTGACGAAAAATGAGTTGCCCAATCTTGCTCTCGCGAGACTTTATCTCTTGGACGATATGATTCCAGAAGCCAGAAATGCTTATACGGCAGCTTTGAAGTAAGTAACATCATCAACAAGCCATATATTAGAAATGCTGTTTCGAAGTAATTATGGATTCGATTGAGAGTCAACAGTATATATAATATTTATTATCATTTATTATTATTTATTATTATTATTATCATTTTTATTATTTTTATTATTTTATTATTTATTCATTATATAGCTATTTTTGATCGTTTTTATCATTTCCTAATTTATAAAGGATGTTCTGGGATTTAACTGACAAATTCGATTATCCCGGGACACTTTGTATACAGGATTAATATATATATATGCATACATGGTGTTTCATTTAAATTAATATACTCAAATATTGCTAAAACTATGACTGTAACGAGGTAATAATTCATACAAAAAGTTGAAAGATTTCAAGAGGAAAAAGTTGATATATAATATTGAATTTTAACTAAGGTCGTTTAAGGTCAATCTAATTTTTTTACATGGAACCATCCCAATTTTTTTTATATAACTCGATTCCTTGCAATAATTGACATGAAAAGGATAAGATGGTCAAAATGTGAATAATTTAAGAAATTTTGTCCTTTTTTATATATTTTTTATCTATATATTTTTACACAAACTATGAAATATATTTTATAAAATGTTCATTTTTTTTCTTACATATCTTACACTTCAATAAACTTTTATGTACAAAATAATAAGAGAGGATTTAATTTTTAATCACTTAATTAAAAAACACATTAACTAATAATATACATATATGTATTATAACCACAATCTCCACTTGATTCCTCTCGACCAATAGAGCCAAACGCGATGTTATTGCGACAATTATGAAAGAAAGAAAATTTGGAAAACTAAGGAATTTGAATCCTATATAAATATATGTATTATATTTAAAAAAAATATGTTTCCCATTTTCTCTCGTGTAAGTATATATTTCTTTAATACCTCTGTTGACTCGATATATTAATCTCTCTTGCTTTCCTCACGCTTGTCAGCGCAAATCCCGAGAGTATCGATGCTGCGACGGAATTGGGTCTCCTGTATCTTAAAATTGGAGATACGCAACGAGCGTTTCAGCAATTTGGAGTAGCATTAGCCTATTCGCCTAATTGCGTTAAGGCGATTGTGCCCATGGCTTACATAATGCAGGTACGTAAATTATTTAAAAAAAAAAACAGATATTTTCTTCATATTTTTTCTTTCATATTTTTGTTCTATTTTTATCAAGCAAGCGAGTTTGGATCGATCGATTCGCATTTATATACCTACTTGTTTCAATTGTTTTTTCAAATTAAAATTTTTAATTCTTCCAAATCCCTCCTTTCTTTCATTTTCTTAAATGAAAGTTTTATTTCATTAAAACGCGATGTTACGGAGTATTATTACACTATACTTTGCTATGCTAATGCAAGTGGCTCTCTCCTCTCTCTCTTCTCTTTCTCTCTGAAAAGCGTATATCACATTTTTAAGTGGAGATTTAATTACGTTTCCTTGCGTGCGAAATTTGCTTCTTCTCTCGCTCTACTGAACACATATCGTATTTTCCAGAATCATCGAGATTACGATGGTGGTTTGTCCAGTATAAAAATAGCAGCGAAATCATTTCCGGAGTCCGCGGCACTTTGGAATAACATCGGGAGTGTCTCACGCAAAACAGAATATGTCGCTGTAAGTAACATTTATCTATTTTTCTTTCTTCTTTTTCTTTTTGGGTTTTCCTCGCATATCCGTTATTGCAGTATAAGCAAAAATTTTGTAATATAATGTAAATTATCAATGGAGAAAAAGAAGAAAAACTTTTTAGGGATTAAATATATTAGAGGTTGATTCTAAATAAAGTTTCGCTATAGATAATTTATACTGAATTATTATTTTATTCTGAGAAAATATTTTATCTATTTTCTTTTTTTTCTTTTTGGGGTTTTCTTGAGCATCCCTTATTGTTCAGTATAAGCAATTATCAAGAGACACGGTAGTGTCTCGCGACCAGTTAAGGGCGTAGCGGAGACACCGTGTATCTTAACGCGAGTCGGACATTTGAGTCTTTATAATATTTCGAATCCTCAATAATGGCTGAAGCAATCGAGTTTATACTAGACTTAATCGATAGATTGAGTTCGAATTATATAATAAAAGTGTCTTTATTTCTGCTCTACGTGATTTGTAAGCAGAGATATATAAATGCAAAGTCGAAATATGAAAAATTTCTATTAAGAAACGTCCCCGTCATCATTATCATCATTATCATCATCATTATCATCATCATTATCATCATCGACCACGCACATAGTAGTATCGTGCTACACGTATTCACACGTATACAACACATGCGCACACATATATCACACGTACACAACACATGCAAGATGCATGTAGTGGTAATTTTGTCCATCTCGCACGTTTTACAACAGATGGCGATAGTGGCGCCGCCATATCGGCAGCGTGCGGGGTTATGTGGCTAACTCTCTCTCTCTCTCTCTCTCTCTCTCTCTCTCTCTCTCTCTCGCTCTCTCTCTCTCTTCTCACACAACACGCAACACACACACTCTCTCATTCTCACTCACTCACTCACTGTTCGTCTTGTGTACTTATTTAGTACATTCATGATCGGCAGCGTGCGGGGTTATGTTGGCTAACTCTCTCTCTCTCTCTCTATCTCTCTCTCTCTCTCTCTCTCTCTCTCTCTCTCTCTTTCTCACACACACACGCACACACACACACACTCTCTCATTCTCACTCACTCACTCACTGTTCGTCTTGTGTACTTATTTAGTACATTCATGATTAAACATCTATATGCATTAATGTGAAATTTACTTACAATTAGTTTACTTGAAATATTCAATCTCTAAAGTGTTTATCTTATAAGATAGACAAAAAAATCTGAGTAAATAATAAGAAAAAAAACAAGGATTATTATTGTCATAATTTTTTATCAATTAAGTACTCTCAACTATCCAATAATTAAATAAATACGTACAAATGTGCGCGCGTGTACACACATACACATATTGATATTAAAGAGATTGAAGGAGAGGAAGGAGAAGATAAAAATTTAAATATTCACATATATTTTCAAATATTATATATGAATTTATAGTTTACATATCTAATTAATAATGAATTTCTAATTATATTAAACATATCAAAATAAAGACATACATGTATTTATCAAATGAATAAAATTATTGAATACAGACTTAAAAAAATTTAAACATAGACTTAAAAAATTAATTAATTAAACATATTCCAAATTTAGAAAAAATAAACTTTATTTATATATGCAACAGCTTTTTAAACTAAATTTTAAATTCTATTTTATATTAGACAATTATCTCAATCAACATCTACGTCCACATTAGCTGCACTGCAGACTACCTCTACAGCCACATTATCTGCTCCGCGGATATAGCGTTATGCCAATACGATACATTACATGTACTTACTTACTTGCCTTTACTGTACCAACTCTTGTTCTTTCCACGTAATCATGTTTTTACAGTTATCGTTTGCTGTATATCTTCCAGCAAACTTTATTTCGTGTGAAGTGTATTTAATTAATTAAATCTCTGCGAAAGATTGAGAAGATGAAGGGATAATTCAAACTATGAAGACATGGTTACATGGAAAAGACAAGAGTTGATACAATAATAAAGACATACATGTATTTGTATCCTGCTGGCATAAGGTTATAGAAGTTGATTGAGATTGAAAAATAATAATGAAAATAATAAAAAAAATAAAGACACATGTATTTGTATCGTGCTGGCATAAAGTTATAAAAGTTGATTGAGATTGAAAAATAATAATAAAAATAATTAAAAAAAGGAAATATTCAATCATCATTTAAAAGCATATTTGAAATCTGTAGAATAAACAGTTTTTGCAAAAAATGTGGAGCATTTGAGCTCTAGTAAGTCTAAAAATAAATGTAAACATCAATTAATAATAACTGATGTTATATATATATATATATATATAAACCAATTTGTTGCAATATTCACTATAAAAGGTTGTAAGGGTAAGATGGCTAAAAGTGAATAATTTAAAAGATAGTTAACATAATTTTACATAAACTGAAATATTTCATAAATAAAATATTTGTAATATTTCGAAGTTTATGTAAGATTATGTAAAAATTATACCTTTACAACTTTTTATAGTAAATATTGCGAGGAATCGATTTATATGAGAAAAATTAAGGTAATTCTATTTTGAAAATATAAGTGACCTTTAAATAACCTTGAAAATCGCCGTTTAGGAAAAAGTCTGTGTCAACTTTTTCTTTTTCGAAATCCTGCAACTTTTATCTAAATTTAATAGAAAATGTATAAAAAATGCTCGACATTAGTACACACACACAAACACACACACACATATGGGTAAATTTATATAAATAGGGTGCTTTAGGAGGAATGATCAGGATTCTAGGATATGATTGTACACATCATTTTAAGCAAAGAAGTTTAGATAAACATTTTTAAAATTGTTCTATTCCTTAATATTTAATGATATAATGTCTAAACTGTTTAAAAAAAGTCAAAAAAGGCCACCATTAAAAATTAAAAATATATTGCAACTGCCTACTACAACCCAAGAAAGAATCCTATAAAAAATAATAATCATTGCATAAAAATATACAAAAATGAATGATATAATCCTAAAAACCACCTTAAAAAAATGTAGAACCAGTACCCATTGCAAAATTATCCATTGAAACCTATGAAAAATTAACCATTGCAAACTCATGTAGAATCCTATGAAAAATTAACCATTGCAAAACCATGTAGAATTGTATTAAAAATTATCCATTGCAAACTTATGTAGAATCCTACATTGCAAACCCATGTACAATAGAATTGTATGAAAAATTATCGATTATAAACCCATGTACAATCGTAACAAAAGTAATGAAATAAAAAAAATTGCGCCAAGTGAAAGTAGAAACTTGTACCAGTGGAAAATTAAAGTTGCAGACATATATAGAGTCGTATAATGAATCAGTAAAAATTTAAATTTGCAAATGTAGAATCGTACCATAAAAAAACTTATCTTTTAAAAAAAAAGATAAACAAGATGCCAAGTCCATGCGCCATGTGAAAAGAAATAAAAAATTTTAGTTAAAAAACTGGGAGCGCTGCTAAATAATATTCTAACAATATTAAAATTAAATTGTTACTTTTAAACTCATTACAGTTAAAATATGTTTTGTGTTTAAATTAATTAATGTTACTTTAAGGTGCATTGTAATTTTGAAACTTAGCAGCGCGCCCAGTTTTTTTAACTAAAATTTTTTATTTCTTTTTCACATGGCGCATGGACTTGGCATCTTGTTTATCTTTTTTTTTAAAAGATAAGTTTTTTTATGGTACGATTCTACATTTGCAAATTTAAATTTTTACTGATTCATTATACGACTCTATATATGTCTGCAACTTTAATTTTCCACTGGTACAAGTTTCTACTTTCACTTGGCGCAATTTTTTTTTATTTCATTACTTTTGTTACGATTGTACATGGGTTTATAATCGATAATTTTTCATACAATTCTATTGTACATGGGTTTGCAATGTAGGATTCTACATAAGTTTGCAATGGATAATTTTTAATACAATTCTACATGGGTTTGCAATGGTTAATTTTCATAGGATTCTACATGAGTTTGCAATGGTTAATTTTTCATAGGATTCTACATAGGTTTGCAATGGGTACGATTCTACATGGGTTTGCAATGGTTAATTTTGCCTAGGATTCTACATGGGTTTGCAATGATTAATTTTTCATAGGATTCTACATGGGTTTGCAATAGGATAGGATTCTACATGGGTTTGCAATGGATAATTTTTGTTAATGGCGTGCCCTAACTGGTCGCCTTTTTTTACCTTTTTTTAAAGGTGAGTTTAGAGATTATAAAATTTATCATTACTGCAGAATAAGAAGGCTTTATAAGATTTATTTATATTAGGTTGATTCATAAATAAGTTTCGCTATAGATAATTTAGATTGCATTATTTCTCTGAGAAAAACCCTTTCATCTATTTTTTTTTAATTTTCCTCGAGGATTTCTTATTTAGTATAGCAAATTGGTAATAATATCTATTATGAATGAAAAAGAAAAGGTTTTATAGGATAATTTATATTAGGTTGATTCATAAATAAATAAGTTCGCGATAGAGATTCATTATACTGAATTACTATTTGAGAAACTGTTTTTTAAATCAAAGCGAAAAAAGTATATACCGTAAAAAATGGTAAAAAAATGACCACTCTCGTCAATAATTGCAAACATGCGATTTGCTACACGAAAACGCCAAACCGCATACGGTTAGAATAACCCGGAAATAATCTGGAGCATTTTGTGGTCAGTTCTCATCCTCCTCATTCTTTGAACCTTGCCTCATCAAATTTCTATCTGGTTCAGGTCACTTCAAAATTCATGAAATAAAAAAATTTTTTCATAAAATACTGAAATAAAATGTAAAAAAAAAATTTTTTTGCATTAAAAAACCTTAAAAATTCTTGAGAAAAAAATTAATACTTATCGTTAAATGGGAATAAGTTTTATTATATATATAAATAGATAAGAAAGATATATGCCCCCCCCCCAAAGTCGAAACCCCGGATATTTCAAAATATAAGTTTTATAAAAAATGTTTCATGTATGATAAAAATTGTAGGATCTAAAAATATATATTTGATCTTATCACTTTGACCTGTAATGGTGTTGGAAAGATCAGG